GGAGTGAACTCCGTGGAGTGACACATGAGGCTCCCTCCTGTCAGATGGAGGGAGTAGACACAGCGGCAAGCTTTGGGACAAACTCCCCTCTCTCCGGCAGAAACAGGAAATGCCGTAACTAACGGTATCAAATCAGCATCTCTTTGACAAAACATGTAAATTAATAACTAAAATAAAACTCCAAACATCTCTAATTGTGTTACTGTTTTGTAAAGCTCTTTTAGTTTTAAACCTGATGTTTATAAGTTTCTTAGTTTTTGCAACAGTCTGTAAATATACACAACTTTATAATAAAATGCACACATTTACCTTTTTCTAGACTAAACACAGGTAGATCCTCAGTTAAAAACATATGAGGTTATCATGAGGTTGTTAACATCGCAGTTTATCAGTGGATGTTTGCTGGAAGCACAATAACTGCATGTTTTGCATTGCTTTTACATGTCAGTTAATATAGTGGTGAGAGACTCCCGATACATTAGATTTATAAGTTCATTAATTGTCTCATGATGCATATTTCCCGGTGAGCATGAAGTTTTTCAGAGTGGGGTTTTTCTCAGCTACGAGTTCTTTTGGAAATTGCTCTCCTTATCCGCATGCCCCTGATTGCTAGGCCCTGTCGGGTTAGAAACTGCAGACAGCGCAGTTGCTCCATCATTTCATCTCTTCTTTGTTCCTGCTCAATACGCTGTTGTTTGACAAGCTGTATGTTGACTGGTGTTTGACTGAAGAAAGCGCACTTTAATACACTCTCTGTGGAAATTAGACTTTTCGTGGCTGTCCAGGAGGCTTGGGCACTTTTTCCAGTTATTAACTCCGATATTAACAAAGCTATCATCTCCACATTTTGAGAAAGTTACAAGCCGTTTGACAGCAAATCTGCATATTTCACAGAAGGTCCGTTTAGTGGTTTTGCAAAGAATTAACCACTCTCTGTTTTTGTACCATTCTGCGTTGAAGTACCTTTCTCTTTGCCCAAATAATCTAGCGGTCAGTTAGCTGCAGCTTTACCCGTCTCAATGTCCCGACAACAAACCTCCATGCAGTCGGAACCAGCCTGTTTCGGTTCAACGACGGCGGTGGCGGCGGTTTTGACAGTCTCTGCGGCCGCAGAGCTGCTGCTTTTGGGTTCATCTGGCTTCGCTGGTTCTGTGATTGATGAAGGTCCAGGCTCCGGAGACGTGGATGTCAGGGATGTGACCTTCCAGTTGTTAATTTAAGTTTAGATTGACTGTATTTAGTTTTCTTCTGCGCTGGTTCTTCTGACTTGTTTGCAAGTGTATATTCTTTCTATCTGGTTAACGGCTGACACACACAGAACAACGTAACAAATAAAGTAAACAACGTAACGAATAAACACATCTAAGCTTTTTTATTGGTTGTAATTTACATGGATACATTTGAATGGTGTGGCAATGTCCTATTTGATTGGGTTAAAATGTACATATTCTTCCTGTTATGTCTGCTTTATTTTACCTAATGCAAAGTGACCTGCTCTATCGAAATCAGTCGCATTGACCCGAAGACACATTTTGAGTTGTATACACTGCTGGAAAGAGGAGATTCATAGCTTTCTAATGATATCAGGATTGTTGTTGTAGGCTACTCCAAATATTAAGCAAAATATGTCACATTATATAATGACTGTTACAGAGTCATCATTTTGAGAAAAAGGCCTTTAAAGTTTCCTCTTCTCTGGATCCATCTGATTGATTATTAGCGGAGCAAATGATCAAAATAGTACGAAGGGAAGATAGGGAAAGCCCGCGAGTGAGAGTGTGTATACGTGTGTGTGTGTATACGTGTGTGTGTGTATACGTGTGTGTGTGTATACGTTTGTGTATTTTTGCGTTTGTGTGTATTGTGTTTGTTTCCCGGGGAAAACACTCACGAGAAACACCGGCTGTTATGCCTGCATTGACGTCAAGTTACTCCGTTGCTTGTAATTATGCCGTTAGCTTCAAAGTTGTATTTATCATCTGAATTTGCCAAAACAAGTTTAATATTCTGAAAGCCAAGACTTTGTTTATTTGAAATCAGATAAAAACAAACTGTAACGGACCCTGCCGTGTTATCTATGATTACTATACGCCTTACATTCATAATGTCAGCAGAGGGAGGGGAAGCGGCGTGTGGAACAGCAGAGTGGAGTGAGAGCTTTACAAGCTTCAAACATGCCTGTAGCTAATGAGATTGAATATAACAATCAAACATAACAAAATATACACAGCTATCAGATCGCGTTTTAGATGCGACTTTAGAGTAGAGGAGAATTATTGAAACGGGATTTGTACAGTGTTCCACGGCATCCGCGCTGCGAAAATGTGGGGCAGGGCTGAAAAGTGGGGGGGCCAATTGGCCCCCTGGCCCCCCCACTTCCGGCGCCCTTGATGGGTACCGAGCCCCGGTATTAAACGGGCCCCGGGGCTGAATTATTAAAGATCGTGGTACCGTTAATCTCCGACGTTATCGGTCTTTTTATCGGTACTGGAGACATCTAAAAAATATGTCATGTGTATTATTGCTACACAAACATTATATTGCAGTTTTAGTGTCGCCAACTCCGTTTCTAATACGCAAAAAGACTGCAAAATGCGTCATTTTTTGTATTTTCGATCTCTCCAATCCAGACGAGAGATCTCTCTCCCCCGCCTGTGTGCGAGGGGGCGGGGCGGTTTACACACACGCAGCTGCTACATGCAGCAACACACACACACACACAGCTGCTACATGCACACACACACACACACGGAGGAGATGGCGGAGAGAAAGCGCTCCGAGGTGTGGTTCAACTTTACCCGTCTCGCTCGTTGCCTAAAGTGCAATAAGAGTTTAGCATGTCAGGGCGGTAACACGAGCAATTTGTCTAAACATTTAGCAAAAGTGCTCCACGTTCAGACGGAGAAATGCACCGGGTTCGACTGTCTCTCTAGTAGCTCTGTAGCCCCATCCACGAGTAACGTTTCCACGTCAGGTGATATGTATGCTAGCAGCAACACACGGAGCTAACTCAATGATACAAAAACATGGGTTGATGATTAGAGGTAACTGAGTTATTTAGTTTGTTAAAGTTTCAGCCATTCTGTTCACAGTTCTGTCATCACATTATTTAATATGATTTGTTAAAACGTTGTTGTTTCTGTTGATGTGAAATATTATGTATTTAATTTAAATAAAAAGCAATGTTAGTTTTGTTCACAATTTGTTTATTTTCATTTGTCATTTAATCGTTTATTTGAATAGGGACAATGCACATTAATGAACACTTTAGACAAATAATGCTTCAAGTGTAAATATGCCAGATTTTAGCTTTGAGCTAATTTCCATCCGTAGTCCCTGACAAACAACATATAGTTAGTTTACCTCATTTTTCTCTCCAAAAGAACCGATAAGAGTACCGTTAAAAGACCGGACCGATAAGCGGTATCGATAAAAGTAGTAGTACCGTTAAAACCTTAACGATACCCATCCCTAGGTAATGATGACTCGGACTCGACTCGGACACTCCTTGGGTGACTCGGACTTGGACTCGGACTCGAAGAGTGGTGACTCGAGAGCGACATGGACTCGTGAATTGGTGACTTGACTACAACACTGTGCTGTGCTTCATGATGGAAGAAACGACATAATTCAGAGGGTAATAAACACACCTGATGTTAGATACATCCTCAGACCGAGGAACCCTCCGATCACTCAAACTACTTCTGGTCGCAGTTGAACCGATTCTTAGACAGAAAACAAATCATCAACTTTTATCTAAATGTAATGATGTTTGGGAATAGTTCTTCTGCAAAACTGTCAGAAAACGCAGTTTTTCAGTCTCTTGATGATGGGACTTCCGTCTGTCTCTGTTTGTCATACACAGGTTAGCATTCTGGAGTTTAGACGGACGGACAAGACGTCTAGAGACATCTCCTTAGACTCTGAGGAACTGGGAGGGTAAACACACACACACCGTCACATGTTGAGCGCACACACACACACACCTTCACATGTTGAGCTCACACACACACACCTTCACATGTTGAGCTCACACACACCTTCACATGTTGAGCTCACACACACCTTCACATGTTGAGCTCACACCCACCTTCACATGTTGAGCTCACACACACACACACACCTTCACATGTTGAACACACACACGCGTCACACACACACACACACACACACACACAGCATAGCTGAATACATATTTAACAGGCAGTGCTCAGAGAGGACACCCTATGAATAGCTTCAGTTTCTGTGGACAAACTTAGCTTCACACACACACACACACACACACACACACACACACACACACACACACACACACACACACACACACACACACACACACACACACACACACACACACACACACACACACACACACACACACACACACACACACACACACACACACACACACACACACACACACACACACACACACACACACACACACACGCATCTTCACAGCATGGCATGATAGGAGTGTGTGTTACACTGTGAGCAACACACACTCTTTACCAACCAGAAATATCCCATCAACACTCCTCAGACCCCCCCCCCCCCCCCCATATGACACCCTTCACTGTCTGCTGGTACACATCATTGAGAGGAACACAGTGGTAATAAAGTAACATTAAGTGTGTGTTCACAGTGAGCACACACACACTTCTGACCCCCCAGAAACCCAGTGTTTGAGACACTGACCTCTCGTCTGCTGGAGACATGTCCCACTGGTCTGAATGAACAGGTAGAGGACTAAAGAGCTGATAAAGAGATCAATAAAGTGATATATAGAGTGATGTATGAGGACTCAAAGTGAGCACACACACACACACACACACTGCTGACCCCCCAGAAACAGTGGGTTTGAGACTCTCCTCTGCTGGAGACATGTCCCGCTGGTCTGAATGAACTGGTCCTACCGTGAGAGGACTAAAGAGCTGATAAAGTGATCAATAAAGTGATCAATAAAGTGATCAATAAAGTGTTAAAGTGATATAACTCACGCTGAGCAGCAGGCAGAGGGTCCAGAGGGTCCTGGGGGTCCTGGGTGTCTCGCAGCCCATAATGAGGCTCTTTCTGCGAGGAGAAAGTGATCTGAGCTCCGGAGCGCTGCCCGGCCTGCTGTGCCTCTGTTAGCCGGAGAAAAGAGAAGAATCCCGGCTGCTCCTCTGCTCCCGCACCGGGGGAACCAGCGGCTCCAAACTAAGATCCTTCAACACGGGTTCCTTTAATACAACGAGTCCTTTCTTTAGTGCAGAGGAGCTGCGGAACATGTCCAAAGTCCTCCTGAGCTCCGAAAGTTAGTGAGGAGGCTCAGGGAGGGGGGAGGAGTAAGAGAGAGAGGGAGGGAGGGAGGGGGGAGAGAGAGAGGGAGGGAGGGAGAGAGAGAGAGGGAGGGAGGGAGAGAGAGAGAGGGAGGGAGGGGGGAGAGAGAGGGAGGGAGGGAGGGGAGAGAGAGGGAGGGAGGGAGGAGTAAGAGAGAGAGGGAGGGAGGAGAGAGAGAGAGAGAGAGAGGGAGAGATGTTACTCTCTTCATGCATTCAGAAGAGGATTAGCAAAAGTGCATTTTTCTTTTGTTTTGTGGGAAAAGAAAGTATGACTTTTTTTCAGAATTCTCGATTTGTTTGCAAATTCTGAGATTTGGAGAAAATCTTTTCTGAAATCAGAGAGAATTCTTTTTACTTTTGGTCAGATCTAAAAAAAAAAAAAAATGTTGACATGACCCTAATCCTCTTCCGTACATGCACTTACTAAATTAAAAGTATACAATGATATATAGTTGTTTCCTGAGTAAAGGTAACAATAAAGTATTTCTTGAAGTAAAGTGCATTAAGAATCTAATTGACTTGATACCAGACGACGCGTGAAGTACTTTAGACTTTATTTAAAAAATATTAAATAAAGGTTTCTCTTTATTTGACATGTAGTGCCCTCTGCTGGAGACAGAGAGGCATTACACCACACACTCAGACCTGTGTGTGTGTGTGTGTGTGTGTGTGTGTGTGTGTGTGTGTGTGTGTGTGTGTGTGTGTGTATTTCAGGAGCAACTCGTCTCACTTTCCCACTAGAATAAATGCAGAGAGATTATCGTGCGTTGGTATGCTGTGAGATTTTAAATATAAATACACTGCAGACGCTGTGATGCTACTTACAGACGCCCTCTGCATGTTTCCAGATACTTAGAAATACTAAGTAATACCCTGGGTCTGATGATACCCTGGGTCCGGTGATGCCCTGGGTCTGGTGATGCCCTGGGCCTGGTGATACCCTGGGTCTGGTGATACCCTGGGTCTGGTGATGCCCTGGGTCTGGTGATACCCTGGGCCTGGTGATACCCTGGGTCTGGTGATACCCTGGGTCTGGTGATGCCCTGGGCCTGGTGATACCCTGGGTCTGGTGATACCCTGGGCCTGGTGATACCCTGGGTCTGGTGATACCCTGGGTCCGGTAATACCCTGGGTCCGGTGATGCCCTGGGTCCGGTGATGCCCTGGGTCCGGTGATACCCTGGGTCCGGTGATGCCCTGGGTCTGGTGATACCCTGGGTCTGATGATGCCCTGGGTCCGGTGATACCCTGGGTCTGATGATGCCCTGGGTCCGGGGATACCCTGGATCCGGTGATGCCCTGGATCCGGGTGATGCCCTGGGTCCGGTGATACCCTGGGTCTGGTGATACCCTGGGTCTGGTGATGCCCTGGGTCTGATGATACCCTGGGTCTGGTGATGCCCTGGGTCTGATGATACCCTGGGTCTGGTGATGCCCTGGGTCTGGTGATACCCTGGGTCTGGTGATGCCCTGGGTCTGATGAAACCCTGGGTCTGGTGATGCCCTGGGTCTGGTGATGCCCTGGGTCTGGTGATGCCCTGGGTCTGATGATGCCCTGGGTCTGGTGATGCCCTGGGTCTGGTGATGCCCTGGGTCTGGTGATACCCTGGGTCTGGTGATGCCCTGGGGTCTGATGAAACCCTGGGTCTGATGATACCCTGGGTCTGGTATGACCCTGGGTCTGATGATACCCTGGGTCTGGTGATGCCCTTGTGATGCCCTGGTAGGTGATGCCCTGGGTCTGGTGATGCCCTGGGTCTGGTGGATGCCCTAGGGTCTGGTGATGCCCTGGGTCTGATGATACCCCTGGGTCTGGTGATGGCCCTGTGGTCTGGTGATTGCCCTGGGCTCTGGTGATACCCTGGGTCTGGTGATGCCCTGGGTCTGATGATACCCTGGGTCTGGTGCTTGCCCTGGGTTCTGGTGATGCCCTGGGTCTGGTGATGCCCTGGGTCTGGTGATGCCCTGGGTCTGGTGATGCCCTGGGTCTGGTGATGCCCTGGGTCTGGTGATGCCCTGGGTCTGGTGATGCCCTGGGTCTGGTGATGCCCTGGGTCTGGTGATGGTGGTTCACAAAGACAGCAAAATAAAAGAATAGGTCATACATCATCGTGTTTAAAAGAAACCAGTTGGTGCTTCAAAGGAGATGTAACATCTGATCCTCTGTCAGCGCCGCCCTCTGGACTCTGACTCCGTGTCAGAGTCATTAACAGATAACTTTATCTCCACACACACACACACACACACACACACACACACACACACACACACACACACACACACACACACACACACACACACACACACACACACGTACATTAGTGTCAATAGCAGAATAAACTAAAGTGTAAAACCTTCAAACTGAAAGCTATAAGACTATTAAACACCTGTTGTGTTTGTTTATGTATTTAAAGGACAGTGCACATGAATCCACTTTGCTGTAAATGAGCCAGTATTAGCCAGCAGGCTCATTTTCAACTGTTGTCCTTGGCAAGATGTTAAATGACCACAACTGTCTTTATTTTGTTGTTGTTTATATGTATTGTTTTATATCTTGTAAATTGCACTGTTGAGGAACCTGATCTAAGTGTTTCATACATTACCTAATAACACCAGTTGTGTGACAATAAACCTTTGAATCTTGAAACAAAGAACTTCAATTCTCCGCTTACTTTAACATGAACTCTTTGCCCTCGTGCCGTTTGAACCTGTGTCCTCTGAGTCACAAAGGGTTTCTAATCTCGCTTAACAGTCAGAAACCTTAGAGTTCACTTTTCTCCTATCATCATTGTTAGCCATCATATCATGCCAGGAAGTTTTGACGTTTTTGAATTGCGTCATTATCTTTGGATTACTCAATATTTTATGTAATAATAAAAAAAAAGATCCACTTGTTGCTCCCGTATGAACTCGTGCTGCCTTCAGGCACACTGAGTAACTTTGAGAATGACAAGTGTATGACCGAAATATAAAGCAGAAAACATATGTTATATAATATTTCTTCACTTAATGGGAAGTCTTACTTGCCTTGCCTTACTTCATAAAAACGAAGAAAATACGTAAAGAGACAAACAAAAAATATAGCATTTTGAATGAACTTTTAATGTTTCCTTCACAGCGGAATACAGTATAAATTCCGCTCCTCCTGTGAGCACCTGAAGTATCCTCAGCAGTAACTAACGTCTCCTCTGACAGACAGCTTGTTCAGGATCTCAGCATGTGGTCTCTGTGCAGGACCTTCATTAGACCCGCTCTCTCCACAGGGGGGCTCCCGTCCCTCCGCAGGTCTGTGGTCGCACCCCCGGTCAGCAGGAGCTACGGGACCCGCTTCAATGTCCCCCCCAGCGCAGAGTTCGTGTCCCGGGTCTCGGGGATCCCCACCATGAACAAGCTGCCCCACCAGGAGAGCGCGGAGGGGCTGGACGCGGCCTTCATCGGGGTCCCCATCGACACCGGGACCTCCAACAGACCCGGGGCCAGGTGACCGTTCAGCCTTTATACAGACTATACACTCCTGTGCTGCGTTCAGGGTCCGCGGAACTGTTGCTTTACTGTGCTGCGTTCAGGGTCCGCGGAACTGTTGCTTTACTGTGCTGCATTCAGAGTACTACTGTTACTGTGAAGCGTTCAGGGTCTGCACAACTTTGACTTTACTGTTCTGCAAAACTGTTAAACTAATGTGCTGCGTTCAGGGTTTGCACAGCTTTACTGTACTGTGCTGCGTTCAGGGTCTGCAGCAGAGGTGCAAGAAGTACTCAGTTCAAAGTAAAAGTCCAGCATTTCAAATTAACAAAGTATAAAAGTATTAGCATCAACATAAACTTTAAGTACCAACATTTTATATTTTGTATTTATGATATCAACCAGTTACCAGTAACTAAATCTGTAAAATAAATGTAGTGGATATAAAGTATGAAGTATTACAATAAGAAGATACTCAAGTAAAGTAAAAGTACCTCAATGTTTTAAATGTACTGTGTTACTTTACACCTCTGGTCTGCCTTTACTGAATACTATAATGTGCTGCGTTCAGGGTCCACACTATGTTTACACAAGAGAACTGTACACAGAGTGAATGTTATTTATTAACCCCTGCAGGTATTAAATAATGTACATTAAGACCAAATTAAATACGTTAACTGCGGTGATAACTATTTATAGAAAAGTACAGGGTCTGCAGCAGTAGAGAACTGAACACAGAGTGTTATTTGTCTGCAGGTTCGGGCCCCGGCAGATCCGCGTGGAGTCGGCCATGCTGCGCAGCTTCAACAGTGGAACCAGAGCGGCTCCGTACGACTCGCTGATGGTGGCCGACATCGGAGACGTGAACGTGAACCTATACGACCTGAAGGACACGTGCACGCGCATCAGAGAGTTCTACAGGAGGGTCCTGTCTGCAGGGTGCATCCCCCTCACCATGGGTGAGGAGTACTATATTATATCATATTTCTGTGTGTCCCTGAAGGCAGCATCTCCCCCCTCCAATGAGATTCCTCCATGTGATTTTGGATTATGTCAGAAAATAATCTCTGAGTCAAAAACACATTCAGAAACCATTGGTCTGCACTACTGTTACTTCACTATGCTGCGTTCAGGGTCTGCACTACTGTTACTTCACTATGCTGCGTTCAGGGTCTGCACTACTGTTACTTCACTATGCTGCGTTCAGGGTCTGCACTACTGTTACTTCACTATGCTGCGTTCAGGGTCTGCACTACTGTTACTTCACTATGCTGCGTTCAGGGTCTGCACTACTGTTACTTCACTATGCTGCGTTCAGGGTCTGCACTACTGTTACTTCACTATGCTGCGTTCAGGGTCTGCACTACTGTTACTTCACTATGCTGCGTTCAGGGTCTGCACTACTGTTACTTCACGATGCTGCGTTCAGGGTCTGCACTACTGTTACTTCACTATGCTGCGTTCAGGGTCTGCACTACTGTTACTTCACTATGCTGCGTTCAGGGTCTGCACTACTGTTACTTCACTATGCTGCGTTCAGGGTCTGCACTACTGTTACTTCACTATGCTGCGTTCAGGGTCTGCACTACTGTTTACTTCACTATGCTGCGTTCAGGGTCTGCACTACTGTTACTTCACTATGCTGCGTTCAGGGTCTGCACTACTGTTACTTCACGATGCTGCGTTCAGGGTCTGCACTACTGTTACTTCACTATGCTGCGTTCAGGGTCTGCACTACTGTTACTTCACTATGCTGCGTTCAGGGTCTGCACTACTGTTACTTCACTATGCTGCGTTCAGGGTCTGCACTACTGTTACTTCACTGTGCTGCGTTCAGGGTCTGCACTACTGTTACTTCACTATGCTGCGTTCAGGGTCTGCACTACTGTTACTTCACTGTGCTGCGTTCAGGGTCTGCAACAGAGGTACAAGAAGTACTCAGTTCAAAGTATGAATATGTTTGCAGATGTAGTTAATGATCAACAGGAATGGTTGCTGATGAATCTCCTGTCTCTGTATCAGTTTATTCTAATAATAATAATAGCTTGGATTTATTTAGCGCCTTTCATGGGACCCTAGGTCGCTTTACAAAGAAAAACAGGAGTAAAAACAAACGTCCAAAAACAAAAGGCAGTCAGACAAACAGTCAGACAGACTAAGCAACAAATCAATTAGGGGCCGAAGGCCTTGGCAAACAGGTGGGACTTGAGGGCCCTTTTGAAGGCGTCAAGCGTGGGGATGTTGCAGATCTCCGCAGTGAGAGCGTTCCAGAGGGGGGGGTGGGCTGCCACACTGAAGGCTCGGTCCCTGAAGGTTCGCAGGTTGGTGCAGGCGATGGTGAGCAGGCCAGAGTCTGAAGACCGCAGGTTCCGGGGTGGGGCATGTGGGCGGAGGAGGTCCTATAGGTACTGGGGGGCAAGGGCATAGAGGGACTTGTAGGTGAGGAGGAGGACTTTGTAGGGACTTCACCGGCAGCCAGTGGAGGTGGATGAGGTTGGGAGTGATGTGCTGACACGGCTTTGTATGTGTGAGTACCCTAGCAGCACAGTGTTGAACGTACTGGAGCCTGTCCAGGGTTTTGTTGGGGACCCCAAACAGGACACCATTGCAGTAGTCCAAGCGGGAGGTGACGAAAGCATGGACTAAGGTTTCTGCAACCGACTCCGAGAGTGACGGTCGGAGTCGTTCTTTAGATGGAAAAAGGCGGATTTGGTGACAGACTTGATGTGGGAGTGGAAGGAAAGGGTGGAGTCAAAGATGACACCCAGGTTGCAGACTTCAGGAGATGGGGAGATGGAGCAGCCGTCAACCTCAAGGATGAAGTCACCAACCTTCTGGAGCAGCGCCTTGGGGGCCACAGCCATGAGCTCTGTTTTCCTGCTGTTTGAGGTAGTTGGAGGACATCCAGGTTTTGATGTCGTGCAGGCAGTTGATGAGAGACTGAGGGGGGAGCTGGGAGGATGGAGTAGTGCTGAGATAGATTTGGGTATCATCAGCGTAGCAGTGGAAGTTGAGTCCATGATGGCAGATGATCTGACCGAGGGGGAGCATGTCAATGGTGAACATTTATAATTATTCTTACTCGGTACAAAGATCTGTTCCTGCTCTCATTGGGTCCATGGTGGCTCTCTAACAGCTGCTTTCCCTGCAGGTGGAGACCACACCATTGCATACCCCATCCTGCAGGCGGTGGCTGAGAAGTAAGTCTGTCCAAATGAAAACAAAGATTTTCAGTTTTCAAAGGTTCTTAAAGATCAAGAGAAGCAGTGACGCCTCAGATTCAAGAAGCTGGAACCAATGGATATGTTTGCAGGTTTAGTGAATGATCAACAGATTCATCTCCTGTTTCTGTTTCAGTTTATTACTGGAGATCTTTTATTGCTATTCATCAATGCGCTGTTGCTCAACAAAATGCACGCTGTAATCTGTAATGCTTCAAACGTACAAAACACATTTACTTCATGAGCGAGTACAGAGTCCGACACACTGAGAGATATGGCTGCAACATCTTTATAGACCAAGCTGGTTGGTGGGTCTGTAAACTGAGAGAGAGCCTAAGAAGACCTCTCCAAAGATATTTAGCTTACTGTCACAGAGGGTTAGGAAATACATTTGAGAAGCTGCAATCTGAGACTTTAGACCTTTTGTTCTCCTAAATTCTATATTAAAGTGGACCTATCATGCTATATTATAATAATATAGTGTAGGACCATACCTATATAAGGCATATTTATACTTTTTTTTTTTCAAAATACCAAACAGCTCATGCATTTTAGCCATGCCTCATTTTGCTCAATTTGACAATTTCTAGCTCTGTTTTAGCAAGGGCTGATTCAGTGAGAACAGCACCACCTACAGGCCTGGCATATGTACTACAGCGTCTCCAGCGCTTTCGAACGGCAATGGCCGTGGCTGTCTCCTCCTGATTGGTGGAGTTGGCCCAATAGCCGTAGCGCCACCGTCCTGACGTCAGGACAGTGTTCAAATCTGGATCAGTTTTTATCAGATCCGTTGCAGCCCCTTTTTTAGAGATTTGGGTATGGAGGAAAATAGAGAGGGTTGTGTTTTCTGACACTTGGTGAGTTCCCTGGAACACCGGGGACACATATTCATGTAGAAAAGACGTACACAAGTGCATTTTGCATGATAGGTCCCCTTTAAATGTTGAATATTGTGGTATTTCTTTTTCAGCAAATATGGAAAGATTCTCCAAAATAATGTGAAAACTGTTCAAATAATATGCGGAAAATGTTGTAAAAAACATTGTTTAAAGAAATGTACAAAAAGACTGTATAAAATAAATAAATACATATGTTAAAATGTCAGAAAATATAGAAACAAGTCTGAAATGTAGGTAACTCTGTAATACCCTGTAATACTCTGTGGTACTCTGTGGTACTCTGTAATAATAATAAATAAATAAATTAATAATAATAATAATAATAATAATAATAATAATAATAATAAATAAATAAATAAAATAATAATAAATAAATAAAAAAATAAAAATAATACTCTGTGGTTCCCTGCAGGCACGGCCCGGTGGGTCTGGTCCACGTTGACGCTCACGCTGACACCAGTGATGTGGTTCTGGGGGAGCGGATCGGACACGGGACCCCCTTCAGACGCTGTGTGGAGGAGGGGCTGCTGGACTGCAGCCGGGTGGTGCAGATCGGCCTGCGGGGGTCCGGTTACTCCGCCGACTCCTACGCCTGGAGCCGTGCTCAGGTACCGGAGATCAATAAGATCTAGTTCTACGTACCTCTGATGCCAGCTACTTCCTGTAACACAGGGTACTGACTAACTGACTGAGGCCCAATTCCAAACCTCACCCTACCCACTCCCCCTTGCAACCCCGTAACTTTTCGTAAGGTTTATCACAGGACAAGACACAGCTGGGCAGGGGAGGCAGAAACACAAAGAGACAATCAGACACAGGAGGCAAACACAGGAAGGAAGACCAGACGCAGGGAGAACAGAATTTCAAAATAAAACTGGAAACTAAACACACAAAACTAAGAATCGTGACAGGGTTAGTGTGTAGGGGGCGGTTTGGAATTGGGCCTGACTGACTGTGTGTGTGTGTGTGTGTGTGTAGGGTTTCCGTGTAGTGCAGGTGGAGGAGTGCTGGTTCAAGTCTCTGGCTCCCCTCATGGAGGAGGTCAGGGGTCAGATGGGAGGGGGTCCGGTGTACCTGAGTTTTGATATCGATGCTCTGGACCCCGGCTTCGCTCCGGGCACCGGGACCCCCGAGATCGCCGGGCTCACCCCCATACAGGTAGACTACTGTAACTACTGCTTACTGCTATATTACATCGGTTCTTATTTGACACTTCTATATATACTACCACTTCTACTGGATTTATAGTGGGGGGAAGAAAGGGAGAATTCTGAGATTTTTAGAAAGAAGTCGGAATTTAGAGATTTTCCGAAAAAAAGTGAGAATTTCAGAAAAAGGGAAAATTCAGTGATTTTCGGGAAAAGTCTTTATTTTGAGAATTTTTGTAAAAAGTCAACATTTTCAGAGAGATTTTCTGAAAAAAGTGATAATTGTGATTTTCAGAAAGAGCATGTTTCTCCTGTCGGCCAGCATCGTTTTTAGATGATTCTGATTTATTGTTCTGTTTTCAGGGAGTGGAGATAATCCGCGGCTGTCGGGGTTTGAACCTGGTGGGCTGTGACCTGGTGGAGGTGTCTCCCCCCTACGACACCACCGGTACTACACACTCTATTTCATCATTCATATATTGAATTATGTTTAAATCATTATATTTCTATATTTCCCCCCCCCTCAGGAAACACGGCGCTGACCGGAGCTAACCTCCTGTTCGAGATGCTCTGCGTCCTCCCCAACGTCAAATACCTCTGATTCTAATCAATAACATCAAGTCTTCTTTAAAGATAGAAAGAGGGTAACTCTGCATCAATTACAGATGTTTCATAAATAAACAGTGAGTATTGTTTACAGCCAATGAGAGGACAGATGCTCGACTGAAGAGGATTCTAGTCTCATAGTCTTTGAGATGAATTATAATATCATTCTGTGCTTTATGAATGAAATATGAAGATGTAATTAAAATGTAAAAAGTATCTAATGAATGTGCAATATTTAAATAAAACACTATATCAATGGAGTTACAGTTTAATAAATACTAATAATACACTGAGTTTCATGTGTGGGTCACTGCCCTCATCCTTTGACTTCTGTTTCATCATTTCCATTGACTGGGCTCTGGTTTCAGACGGAGGGTGAAAAGAGGAGCTGCAGCTCAGGCAGTATGAGAAACATAACGTGCTGTTACGTCGAGACAACAACCAATGACATCAAGAGAGTCACCGTGAAGGTGTTTTTATTTACACCAAAACAATAACGCCAACAACTGACAACTTAAAGGTGGGGTAGGTAAGTTTGAGAAACCGGCTCGAGATACACTTGTTGTTATATTCCATGGAATGCTCTTAACATCCCGATAGCAATGAATATCTGAAGTGCTTTGACAACAAATCCATAAATAAATATCATCTGTGGAAGCTGTAGTACTGTAAAAAGCACGACCAATCATTTGAGCCGGCCCGGCTAAAATAACTGGATGGCCTACCTGCCTGTCAGCCTTCCATCTGTGCACAAACTTATCTCGTGCCCTCATTGGTCATGTGCGCGTTCGTGTGTGTTGGAGGAGGGGCTCTGTAAGGAAGTGGCAGATTTGTTCCGGCTGTGTATTTTCAAATTCTAGCGATCTCGAGCCGATTTCTCCAAAATGAGAACACGTCGATGCAACAGTCGATGTCGGTGTCGGCGAGTTCTCTGGTGACTGCTTGGTGTGTCAGGGCCTTTACAGCCTGTTTTGCTAATCTGTCTACTTCCATTTCCCACAATTCCCATGTGGGCAGGAACCCAAATAAATGTCCCCACAGCGCCTCGCTTGTTATCTGTGTGTGTTGTAATGATAAAGAGTTTATCTAGAGGGGAGTGGAGCTCCTCCTTCATGACTGGCTCTGGCTGCTGATAGGCCAGCTGAGGGAGAGGGGACCAATCAGCCGTCAGTCCGAGGTGCACAGGCAGGTTCTGATCAGAGGGGGAGGAGAGAAGAGCAGGAGGAGGGAAACACAACTTAAGGCCCTGACACACCAGGCAGTCACCAGAGAACTCACCGACGCCGACTGTTCCATCGACGAGTTCTCCTGCGTCTTGGCCGTGTGTCGCACTGGAACACACCGCAAAGACTTCAGCCGAGCACGTACGAACTGCGCATGCGTGAGTGGCAATAACTCTCCTTACCAGCAGGCGGCGGTAGTGTGTATTCGTCACTCAAAAGAGGCAACAACCGGAAGACAGAGAAGAAGAACAGACTGTGATATAAACAAACAAATAGCGTGTGCGTTCCATTTTCACTCTCGTCCATCGAAAACATGTTTTAGAATATAAAATACATGAATGATGAAATGAGCACATAAAGTGCAGACATGCTATAACATCACAGTTAATAGACCTGCAGCCCGACTCGTTTTGAAGTGCTTCCTGTTTGCTGTTAAGTTTCACTTCGTGCTCCTCGTGTCGCACCTTCTGCTTCTCTCTAAGGTTTGTAACTCTTTTTGACTTTAGAGCTTTTAGAGACAATTCTTATCAATCATTGCTCAGAGAATAAGAACAGCTCTTTGTGACTTTAGTTACTTCAGACTTTAGAGTAAATTCAGAGACAGAAGTAGTTATACATATACTGTTTCAATCACATTAGTAAGCATAAAAAGTGACAGGTGCTGTGACAGGTCACACCTACTACTACTTATGCTAATGAGCCCCTTTGCTATGCTAATGAGCCTCTTTGTTCGAGGTGTTATCACCATAGACTGTATATATAAATGGACGTAGGGTCCGTGACGTCACCCATAGGATTCTGCAGAGTTGCCGAGAAGCCCTTAGTAGGCGGAGTCGGCCACTAACGGCTCGACAGTGGCGTCAGAGTCTAACTCCCGCCTGCTACATCCTGATCCAAATAAGGGCAAAGAGGCGGAGCCGTGGCGGAGACGAGGCGGGACAGGGCGGGACCTTCTGCCAACGGCCGTCAAGTTCCAGACCTAGCTCAGGCTAAGAAGCTAAGCTAACATGCTCACAGTATTAAGCTAACAACCCAGCTTGCGGTCACTGCTCCTCGTTCCCGGCGTTCTGAAGGTAAGATCCCCTGTAACTTTACAAAACTTGTCCTTTTGATTTAAATGTTCTTGAACCTACACTATACAATTGTTTTTTAAGTGCTTCACCGTTTTTCAAATATAAATGTCATTTGTAACAACTTTGTAAACTAGCAGAGATATGGCCAGTGTTGCGTGAATTAGCCTATGGAATTAGCCATAAACTGTGGCCTATACAGTATGTAAAGGAATTAGCGTATTGTGAATTAAACAAAGCTTTTCCCTATGATTTAACTGTTCTTGATATTACACTATACAAGTTTAAAAACGCTTGTCCATGATTCAAATATAAACAGTGTAATATGCATGGGCTAACAAATGCAAAATGTGCATATTTATACTTTTTGACCATCAATTGTATATACATTTAATCCAACGTTACTGTTTCAACAGCGCTGTGAGAGTATAAATTAAATATGACTGTAGAAAAAGAAAGGCGCTTTTATATTGATTAAACCATTTTTATTTCTTTCAGCATTAAGAAAAAAAGATGGCAACCTCCTCCACAACCTGTAAGTTGATGGTCCTGGCTTACTTTACATGACTTCAGATGGTTGACATTACACACAAACATACTATATCTATATACATATATATATATATATATACCAGCGACGTGCAGTCAGCGGAGGCAGGGGAGGCAGAGCCTCACCTGTCATACTCCAATGTAACGGAAAAACAATTAAAGAAAAACTAAATAATAATAATAATAAAATGTCTCCACTGATCTGTGTTGTAAATGTGATTTCTGTTTGATTCCAATTGCATTTTATAGTCAAAATCAGCAAATTGGCCGAGCTCCGCTACGGGAGCGATGAGAAGTGAGGCAGGCACGAGCACTGCCTCTCGTAAGCCCACAGTAACTTGCTGGAGCGCGGGCACTAATTTAGCGCGGCCACTTATTTTGTGAGTGCGCTCAAGCCATTTACTGTGGGGTAGGTGAGGCACAGATGAGATCTGCCTCACTTCAGAATGCGTGACCCCACAGAAACTGGCTGGAAAGCGGGCCCTAAGCGCATGCCTGTTCCCATCTCACTGTAGGTCACCAATGTAATGTTTGTAGATCCCTTTATTACATTTATCCTCGCCATCCATAGTCTCTAAATAACTTATTTCACGTATATATGATATTTAGGCTCGCTGGTCTCATCGTACAACGGCAATGAAAAAATCACCAGGTGAGGCAGCCATAACCTCTGCCGCACTGAAGGGGGCGCACGTGAGCCCACAGGTTCTTGTTGCTACTGTTATTCTACACAGAGACGGTAGACGTAACAACAAACTAGACTTTTGAAACTACAGGAAGATAAGGACGACTTTTACAAAACAGTAATAGAGATTGTTGTCCAGAAGGATAGCATGGACTTCATCTTCAAGTCAAGGTAAAACCACAACTGTAATGAAAATGGGATCTTACTGAGAAAGAACAATCCAATATTTAGATTGTGGGTATCCTTTTGTTGATCGGTCTGTTTAAAATGAATCATAGCATCAGACTAAAAAAGCTTTTGAAAATAACATAATATTTCGATTAAGGTCAAAATAGGCTATAATATTTGTAAATCTGACTCTGAAAGAGTCAGTGCCTCACCAGCCATGAACCTCACCGCACGTCACTGATATATACATATATATATATATATATATATATATATACGTCAGGTGTGATTTCATATGTTATGTTGTATGTTATTGTCAAAGGAACAAAATGAGCAACCCTTTATACTTAATTTGATATTCCTCATTATCTGAAGCATTTGTTACTCTCATTTATTTTCCTCCCATAGTGACTGTATGGATAATCGGAGACAGCTATGTCCGGCGTGGAGCCCAGAGAGCTACAGAGACCATCGGCAGCAACCTTGGCCTCGACCTTCGCGCCTGCTGGTTCGGTTGGGGTGGACTGCGCTGGAGAGGTCTCCTCCCCTTCTTTTCCAACTCCCTGCGAGGAAGAGCAGCCCCGGATGTCCTCCTCATCCACTGTGGCGGCAACGACTTGGGGGATGCGCCCAGTGTTCACTTGGTGAATCAGATGAAGGAGGACCTGCACCAGCTTCACCATCGGCACCCTGGCATGAAGATCATGCTCTCCCAGATCAACCAGAGGTGCCGATGGAGGGCTGGTGCAAATCCTGTCAAAATTGACAAGGCCCGGAAGTTTGTTAACAGTGTTATGGCTACTTTTGTTCATAGCCTAAATGGTGCCATTGTTGACCACTCCAACATTAGACATGACAGTCCTGGGCTTTTTTTGCGAGATAGAGTTCATTTCACCCCTAGGGGAAATGATATTTTTTTAAAGTCACTAGCCAATTGCCTGAAAGACCATCTCCAAAGACTGTGAACTGCTAAAATGTCAGTATCACTGTTTTTGGATTTGGCCTTTAGAGTATGTTTTCTAAGGCCCTTGCTAAGCCCAGACTGTCATGGCTAATGTTGAGTTAGATATTACATCTGTAGCCATAACACTGTTAACATGGCTGCTCTTCCTCTTCCCCACATCCCACCCCCCCCTCTTCCCCCCAATGGACTCTGTAGCTCTCCAGGCCCATGCTGGGCATGGCTGTCTGTCAAACTTTTTTTTTTAATTTGTTATTATGTTTTTTGTTATTTTATTTGTTAAAATAATTCTGTAAATATTTAAAATAAATCACATTCATATTTTCACTTCTTTTCTCTACTGCTTACTGAAAATGTTAGCTATCACATCCAAATCTGACTATCAAATGAAAGGATAAGCTAACCATACAATACAGAAAACATTACACATTAAGGCTCAAATCTTTTCCCAAGCCGTAGCAGTCTGAAAAGAGTCCCAAGTTTAAAAACACAAAATCTTGACAATGAATACTACCTTGTCATTTATCAGTGACAATGCAAACACCAAGAAGGTCTTCCCTAATCCCATGTATTTTAGCATCAAATATGTCATAAGCATACCATAGAATGTAATTATGAAATGCAATACCCACAA